TTATATTTTATAAACACTTTTTTCTATAAGTGCTCTTTTCTGATATACGAGTAGGTGATCATGTTTGTGACTTACAATTTGGCAGTGGTAGTGCATATTCGAGGAGTTATATCTATTGTGTAGTATATTAGGTAGGTACTATAAAAGTTTATTAAATAGTAAAATATTGGTGTCTTTATAAATTTAATAAAAACAATTTAATAGTAGAATTATATTGTTACAATAGTAATGGATTCAGAGGCGGGTCCAAGTGAAACCCAATTATGTCGGCGAAAGCCCTTATCAAAGGATGAAAAGAACATTATATGGAAAGTGTATGATGGGCTGAAACAGACACTTCTTACAAATGAAGCTGTAAACCGCAGTTCTTTTTTAACTGGAGTATCTGTTTCAACAATTGAACGTATTGTACGCGAAAAGACAAAAAAAGGCTCCTTAGAAGCCCCTAAAACGCATACTCGTGGTCGAAAATTGTTGAAATTGGACGATAACCATTAACAAATCATTCGAAGAACTGTACATTCTTTTTTTTTTTTTTTTTTTTTCGAAAACAAAGCCCCGACACTTAAAGTTGTTCTTACGAAATTAAGAGAAAACGAAGAAATTCCATTAATGAGCCGTGAAACTTTACGCAAAATTTTATGGGGCCTAAAATTTCGTTTTGTCAAACGGTGTAGGAAATCAATTTTAATTGAGAGGTCAGATATAGTGTCCTGGCGACGGCGTTATTTACGAAAAATTAAAGAGTTTAGAGCCGCTAAAAAAAAAGATATACTATCTCGATGAAATGTGGGTGAATGCTGGACACACGGTATCTAAGATATGGCAAGATACTTCTGTAACTAGTCATCGCCAAGCTTTTATAGAGGGATTATCTACAGGTTTGAAAGCACCATCAGGTAAAGGACATCGCCTAATTGTTACCCACATCGGAAGTGACAGTGGATTTTTGGAAAATAGCGCTCTCGTGTTTATATCGAAAAAAACAGGAGACTACCACGAGAACATGAATGCGGAATGCTTTGAAAAATGGTTTACTGAAGTATTACAGCGTGTAGAACGAAATTCAGTTATTGTACTAGATAACGCTTCTTATCACAGTCGACGAGTTAAACGCATTCCGATAATGTCCAGTAGGAAAGCGGATATGCAATGGCCAAATCGATGCTGCAAGAAATTTAAATATTTAACTGTTTCGACAGCACTTACTACTTGCCGTAGTTGTCGTATTGTGTTTTAGTGGCGCTCGTGCAATTATCTGATGTATATGTGTATAACATAACCTCAAAACATTAAATTTATGTGCTTTAGCAGGAAAGTTTTCAATATTGTTTTTAAATCAATATTGTGAATTTAATTAAGTTTTTTTTTTAATTTCCTACTACGTTGAAACAATTAATATTGTTTTAGCATAGAGTTGGTAGTTTTTTTTATGCAGTCCATTTCAAAACAAACTTTTGTTTCCCAGGCATGTCAAGGAAAAATAATATATGTCCCTAATTTAAAATAAAATAGTATATTTTCTACAACTGTCAAAAATTGGCTGTTTGCATTAACGTCAGTTACTTATATGAGACATTTTTTCATTGACACTATTTTTTTTGTGTTACCAAGACACCGTGCACAAAATATGTTGTGTATTAGGGTACAATATTTTTTTGTGCATCAAAAATGTTATTAGGTATTTATCAATTTTCCACAAGAATCGCCCATTTTATATTATATTTAATCTTAATAACTAAACATATACTGAGACAATTAGTTTGACAAAAGTATCACTTTTAAAATTTAAAATAATAATGGTAGGCTATTAACCAAATAAGAACTGTTATTGGTGGATTTCATATCCGTGCAGGGTGCTTACTAGGTAGAATGGATATGAATTATATTCGTTCAGTTGAACGCAATGGCCAAATCAAGCGTGTGAGAAAAGTGATTTGCGCACATCTTAGATTTTATTACAGAAGAGTATCAAGGGGTGATTTTGGGGATAAAAGCCCTCCCCCTAAATAATAAAAATTATGGAAAAGAGAAGATTGGTTGGAAATTGTATTTGAAAGACTTTGAATCCTTAAACCATTCATGAAGTTCAGGATATTTCTGAAAGAAATTTTACTTTTGAACTTTCCCGAACCTCATCAGAGGAAGATTCAAATTACGCAGAAAGCAATGAAACCAATGTCACTTGTAACGAAAATGTCTCCGAAGATGACATGGAGATAAAAGCAGAAAAATATTACGCGATCTATTATGATCACAAATGGTTTATAGGAAGAATCATTGAAAGAACTGAAGACGGAAAATTCAAAATAAATTTTTTATTAGAAAATCTTGGTTATTTCGAGTAGCCAAAAAATGAAGATGTCGATATCATCGCGAAGATGCACATCATATATGGACCAATCGAACTGATTGGTTCTCATCCATTCACAATTAGAAGATTTGATGAGCAAGAAATCGAGAAAAAATACAAGAAATATAAAATGACTGTTTATTAAAATTTTTCTATATTTTGTGATATATATTTAGTTCTGTTTCTGTTTCATTGCTTTTTGTTGTTTTTGTTTTCTTTAATATAGTTAGTTTTTTCATAATTTGATTACTTGCCATTTTTTTTTAATCTGCACCCCCTATATAGATTATTAAGCTCTGTCAACATTTAATATCATGATAAGCCCCCAAAAAATTTATATAAATTTATATAAAAGTAGGTATAGACTATATTATTTATTGGTAACCAGGATATATTTACATCAAAAGATTTCAAACACTAAACTATAATATAAATGGTTAATGAGTCAGCACATGCGTAGAATCTTCTTATTAAATAGTAATATTAAGATGTACTTGATATGCACACAAAATTCCTAAAATTTACAACCTTATAAGTAAAACATACCTACTTTTATTTCATTTTTTAAAGTGGTAAATAGCGGGTACTGTGCATGATAGTAGAATTCCATGGAATTAAATTTAGGAGGTATGTGGAATTCCAGTGGAAGTACGTGGAATTCCAGTGGAAGTTCTAGGAATTCCAGTGGAAGTACGTGGAATTCCAGTGGATGTACGTGGAATTCCAGTGGAAGTACTTGAAAGTACGTGGAATTCCAGTGGAAGTACTTGGAAATACGTGGAATTCTAGTGAAATTATTTAAGTAAGTGGAATTATGGTGTACAATTTTTCTCAGGTGGTTTGCCCCTCGCTTGCTTCGCTATGTAATAACGAAAGGTCAGATGGAAAACTTTTGTATATAAAAAATGTTCAATAAAAAGAGAATAAATACCTAACCTTAAAAGTATCAATACAAGAAAAAATGTTAAATAGAAAAAACTAAAAGTTTTCCATCTGACCTTTTGTTCAAAATTTATTGCAAAAAAACACTGTTGGAATCACTTTTTCAATATTAGTCATTTGATTCGATTAATATTCGAAAATGTTCATCAGAGCATTTACTTAAGTATACCTGCACTATTTCAGCGCTCTACAACTTTTTAGTTTTTGAAAATTTCTTGACAAGATCGCGCGCCTTTAATCGCGCTTTTAATGAGTATACTATAAATACTAGGGTATTCTCTCGAGGTTTTTTGTCACAAATATCCTGAAGACTGTACAAGAATTTTTCATTTCAATCTAAATTGGACAAACACAAATTTTTAGCTTTATTATTTTTTATAACCCCTGTCCTAGGAGCTTCATTACTTGGGCTATACCTACGTACAAGTACGTATATTTTGTGGTCATTCACAATTTGTTATTACACACATTATTGACTGGTGCCACACGCGAAAACAATAAAATTATAAACTAAATTGTTTAGATTGGCCTAGTAAGAGACATGATCATGAATTTGCCTGAATTTTTTACTCAAATTTCAATTTAAAATGAAATTGTATTTATTGATTATAAGGTCGATATAATTGGGAATGAAGTTGTTTTTAAGAAATGCTATCAAAGCATTAATAATATTAAAAAGTTGATGGGATAGCAAAAATAATTTGTTTATAATTAATTATGAATGAATTGGTTTTTTAAGTTCAATATTTTATTGCTTATAATTATATAATTTATTAGGAAAGAGCTTTTTTGACTTTTAATATTTTTAACAAGATTGTATATTTGTCAAAGGAATATCAAATCAATAAGGTGCAGCGTGGATCTCGCTCAAAGTTTATCCAGACTTAGTTTATTGAAATTGCAACATTACAAAAGGAAAATTGAAATGGAAGAACGGGGGTCGTAAATGTTCATGGAATTCCGGGGCCCAAATCGCCCAGTCCGACACTGAGTTGGAATACCGTCAAATTAATATTTTCTAATACATTCAAATGAGGTATCGCACCACCTTGTTTAGGGATAAGTAACTGTGAAGATTGAATAAATTATAAAAAACATTTAAATTTTTTCTTTATTTTGACTCTCATTGGGGTTCAAATGAATTTGTTAAAAATACATTTTGATATTCTATACCTATAAATATAAAAAATAAACATCAGGCTAAAAATATTTGAGCAAAGAGGTTATATCTGTAATAATTTTACTTTCAATTAAGATGATAGAAATGACTTAAATATTAAAATTGATAAGATTGTCAATTAAAGTTATACTCCATAGATACATACGTATAGGTACTGTGCTAGTATACTACTAGGTACTATAGGCTCTGATATACCTAACTAGGTGCCTACCTGGGCATTGTATTTCATAGAATTGTGTACACAGTTTTAAGAAGTCTACCTGCCTTTTATTAGTTACATATACCTAGCACATTATTTATAAAAAGATTACCTACTTATAGAGATAAAAAAAACTGTTAAGATTCTGAGACATCTATTTTGACAAAATCTGTTAAAGATCTCCCCTCCCATAGGGACCTTTTATACCAACTTGGTACATATCCACAGAGGATTTTAATACTAGTTTATGTATTTTTTATTGATTTCATTTAAATAATGAAACACATGTATATATTTGTAAACATAAAAGTAAGCAGTGTTCTTACCAATAAGTTTTCGATCGCCGTGGTGCCTGCCTTGTCAAAAAGTTGTAGGTAATCCAATTGATGTTAAAAGTTTGACAACAGGTATATTTTTAAATCAACATATCAACATAATAAATAGGAACTTAATTACACGATTTAAACGACAAGCCATAATTTATAAATTAACACAAATACATCACTACAATCTACTATACAAATTAAAAAAACCACAAGCTTTTACTTCATTGCCACCAATTTAATAAAACTTTAAATATAGAATCTTTGAAGTTGGATATGAGGAACAAATATGAGTCATCGTCTCACAAAAACCATTCACATCATGCCTGCATTGCGATGTCTATCCCGCTATTGGTTGTTTTGCTTTTGAACTTGCATCTAGAGCGCATGTCCTTACGTTTGGAATAGTAACAACGATGACTAATACGTTGGATAGGTAACACACTGTCACTATTTGCTCCTAAAGCGCTGTTGTCAAGTCTCAAAGGTTGTTTGTTTAGCTCGGATTTCATATTCGGCAAAAAATCTATTTTTGAGATGTAGTGGCAGTGTCAAAATCTTTAAAAGCGAAGAAAACATTGTTGAATGTCCTGAAAAGGAGAATAACTCCTAAGATGGGATAATAAGAAAATGAAATGTACTACAAACATAAAAGTTTAAAATAACCCAAAAAACACGTTGAAGCTCAGACATAATTTATTGGTAATGAAAAAATTTTATTTTATTCTATTTTATCTTTGTTTAAATATTAATAGTATATTAATGAATGTATGTACTAATGCAATTTATACAATTTGTAATAAAAAAAACTTCTGTAGTAAAGCAATCATGAGGGTAACCTATAAAAATCTAAAAAAGCGGCCAAGTGCGAGTCGTACCAGCGCATGAAGGGTTCCGCACCACCGTACAAGATTTAATATTATGTAGGTACTTTTTAAATATTTTATTAAGATCGAGCAAAAAAGCCAAAAAGAAACACGTTTGTAGTAGGGGAGCCATTTTTAATTTATTTTTATTATTTGTTGTTATAGCGGCAACAGAATTACATATTTTGTGAAAAATTCAACCTATTACGGATCATGAGATAAAACCCGCTGACAGACAGACGGACGGACAGCTTGGCAATAGGGTCCCGTTGGTTACCCTTCGATACGGAACCCTAAAACGATTTAACACGGAACGTACCTAGCTCTTGTTTATTTACATCCGGCATGTGAAGTAAGTAAAAGTGAAGAAAGTTATAAAAAACACAAATAGAATAAAAACACATAAAATAACAAAAAATTAGAAATTACTAATACACAAAAATATAAAAAGCACTAACCTGAAAATTAAAAATGTTTATATTAGTGGTATCCCAGTAAACCACAAATAGTCGGCATTCGCTTGGTCTGAACCGGCATGAACCGGAAGTCGAGTATTCGGATTGCCGTTGTGGGGGTTGCTTCTGAGCCGGGAGGGCCGTACCATTTGACGTAATTTAGAAGTAGAAACCGCATATGGTCCGTACTTGGCTTTCCAGGCATGGGAGACATCCTTACGGACCGGACGCCATAAATATTTGGCTATCCGGGCATCCTTACGGGCCGAACGATATATACATATGAACGGGGCTACAATATAGTAGGCTGCCGATATTCGGCTGGGCGGACATACCCTACCTATACACCGAAGCTGCACCAGTGTATCGGGCCGAATCCGGCAAGCCTCCTTCGATCCAGTTACGGTGCCGATTAACTGTGTTTATAGGGATATTAAGTTAAATATATTTATTTATCTCCTAAATATTGTGCCTACCATTATCTAGTATTTGTTATTTATTAATTCTCTAATAATATGCCTCAGACTATTTAGTAAGAACATTTTAAATGATTTTTATATAAATTTTATCCAGTTATTTATGTTTTATAGATAGCGGGCAGCAACTTAAATATTCTTGGCGCCAAGAAGGTACAGTTTACTAAAGTTTTCATTTTGATCACAGGTGCCGACTTTTGTTTATTTCCGGAAGGCTGTACGAAGACATGTTTAGTCCAATTATGTATTTTTATTTAAGTCCTCACCACTCCGAAGTTAAATAATGTGTCTAATTTGTCACTGAGCTCCCAATTCTATAGCAATCATTTCTGCTTGGAAGATCGTGGCCATAGAGCCTAGGTTTATTGATATGTCAACTCTATGCCTCTGGCCGAAAACTCCCGCTCCTACTCCTTTTTCAGTTTTGGAGCTGTTCGTGTACAACGCATAGTCTGCCTGGGAGAGGGTGTTTTCCCCTGGCTCCATGCGTATCTCACTGGAATGAGGACGCTGTATGGCTTTTCTATGTGCTGTCGGGGAACTAGCGAGTCCGAGACCATGCCGAGGATGAGGTGGATAGTTTTTGACTTAATTAAATTTAAAATTTTAAATAAACTAAAGAAAGCAGCTAGCCCCCTCCATAAACCGCCCTTGTGGTTAATAACTTCTGTTTCTTGATCGTTTATCCTATATATTGGTATGTTTTTCGTTTTTGCTGTTGCTTTTCTCTTTTCCCTTACTAAGTTTCCTAAATTATATTACACCGCTATGGTTTTCTAAGTGTCTATTCAATTATTATTGTCCTGGAATTTCTATATATACTTTTCCTATTAGTTATAATCATAGACATTTGTTTGGATTCGACATTTTGTACAAAAACACAATTGAAATATCTTCATTAGTGTAGATGTAAAATATTATAACTCGCTAGAAAATGTCTTTCATGACTGCCTCGTGCATTAACTTACACTCTGATACCTATAATGTCAATTTCCACGATTGATACGTAATATATCTACGGTTACATACCTAGGTATATAAAATTAATTAAAATCTATAGAATTAGGAAAATATGAATAATGCATATCTATGTTTTTGTATTATTTTTTCTACTCGTTGAAAATTTTAACACGATGTATTTTTCATGTTTGAGATAAAAACTTGGTACACTTGGCAACGCTGCCAATCAAGTGTACGTGATTCATGATAGCAATTCCTTATTTTCTCTCTTCAACAGATCGTTTATTTTTGGGTTTCAACCATCAAATTAATAAAATTGAGCAATAAGAAAAAATTAAATAATTTTCTTATGAAAATGGTCAATACAATGACCAGGAAATCATAATAAGCATTATAAATACTAAAATCGCATAGGTATAGGTACCTATACAAAACTAACTACCTTGATATTAATGTTGATCATTAAATTTTATTACGGCAAGTAACGTAAATTAACTTGAGTTGACATTAATTTTGAATAAAATTGCTAACAATGCGTAAGTAAGAACCTTATAAAATCAATGGATTTATTTGAATGTTAAAGGTAATTGCAATGTATATATTTTGGCGGGTAATATTAAATAGCGCATTAAAAATCAGAAAATAATATTTATTTTAAATACCTATTGTAATTTTGTGTGTTTACATAGGTACATAACTTTTATATATGTTGTTATTTGTTAGATCTAATTTATCACTGTTGCATTTACAGTTAGGCGGTATAGGTATACCTACCGATATATTTACTAATCAAAACACATTGCGTAGAAAATTGCCAGTTAAAATTTGTTAAAATATTTTTAAAATAAATTAATATAAAAGGAACAAAATAATAACATATAATCCGATATTGAAATATAGTGTTAATTAATGTAAAACTATAATACCATCTAATTATAAGTAACAAAGGGGTCTATTCTGTAACAATTCCTTTATATTTAACGGCCTTTAAAAATATTGGCGGCCTTTAAAAACATTTTCGTATTCGTTAATTTACTTCTGTCATTATTTAAACAGATTTCTTTAAGATAGTCCTCTAATGTATTTTAAAGATCCGTTTAAATAATGACAGAAGTAAAGAAGAAAATATTTTTAAAGTCCGTTAAATATAAAGGAATTGTTACAGAATAGGCCCCAATGTGTTAAATAATGCGTTTCCCTGAAAAAATATGAGAGTAAAGGACTAAAATATGGCGCAGCTATAATAATATAAACTTAGAAGTTACAATTACATTTTATTTGTCGAAAAAATAGCCAACAAATTTAGTAGCTTTAAATATATTAAAAACAAAACTGTAAAAAAATTGCGCACATTACAGATTTCCGTAGTATAATATGTTGCCTAACTCGATAAAGCTTGGTTTTCATGAACCGATCACCAACGTCAAACCGAACTTAAACCGGGTAACTAAAGTTAATTAATATTTATAACCAGAATGATATATAATGCTTGGCATTCTATATTATACTCACCACAGTTTAACAGACCCCCTTAACACCCATTTTCAGTCAGATTTCTTTTTCAGAATTAATAGGCTTCATCCCCCTATAAAGATGGATTTTTCCTGAAAATTTCAATGACATCGTTTTTTGTTTCCGAGTTAGGATTTTTTTTTCAATATTGCAACCCCTTATCACCCCATTTTTATTTATTTATTTTTTCCCTTATAGAGCTTGATTTGTACTAAACATTTCATGTTGATATCGCTTTTAGTTTTTTATTTGACTATTTTTTTAGATTTTTTTTAAATCAATAGGCTTTGTCCCCTTACAGACCTTGATTTTAGCCAAACATTTCAAATTTATATTATTGTTCGTTTTTAAGTTAGGATTTTTTTTATATTTCAACCCCCTTAAACCCCATTTTATTAAAATATAATTCAGAATCAATAGGCTGTATCTCCTCACAGATCTTGATTTTTACTAAAAAATCGCTTTTCATTCTTGATTTATTACTTTTTTTGAATTTCAAACCCCCTTAAACGCCCCATTTTTAATCAGATTTTTTTTAAAATCAAAGGGCTTCTTCCCCTTATAGCACTTGATTTTTGCTAAAAATTTCCAGTTGATATCATTTTTCGTCTTTGAGTTAGGATTTTTTAAATATTTCAACCCTCCTCAACCCCCATTTTTATTCAGATTTTTTTTTTAAATCAATAGGCTTCATCCCCTTTATATTCTGATTAATGAGCACTTGCGAGGCGTTATGGCCGCTTCAATGCGACCCGCTTTGAGCAATCTATGTAACTATGTATATTGCTGACCCTGTCAAAGTCCACAGGCTACCAGTGGCAACGTTATGGCAACCCTGTAAGTTTAGTGATTGGACAAGGTCAATGAAATATAGTAATATAGATTGATCATCCATGTTTTTCAAAATATACATGCGTTTATGCCTTGAAGTAAAAACGTAGGTAATTATTTTTTTACTATATTTAAAGACTGAAAATTGGTTTTAAAACACATTTTTGCTAAACTGATTCTGGCTAATGAGCACTTGGGAGGCAATATGGCCGCTCACAGAAGGACCTGCTCTTAGCAATCTATACAATTATATATTTATCATTGACCCTGTCAATAACAGCAGGCCACAGAGT